TACTCTGACAGAAATCTTTAACACCCGAGTGTGGGATATCATTGACTTATGTTAAATGGTACTCTGACAGAAATCTTTAACACCCGAGTATGGGATATCATTGGCTTATTTTAAGTGGTACTCTGACAGAAATCTTTAACACCCGAGTGTGGGATATCATTGGCTTATGTTTTGATGAATTTTGACTTTGGTCTCCTTGTATAACAGATGATGTGTTTGTCCCACATGTGTCCCTGAGCTCTGATTTTCCATGACAAACCCCGTATCCTTGTTACCACGTCTGTGATACATTGTGTCAGATCTTTGACGATAGATTCCAATCCATCCGAATCGTTCCCTTTGACTGTGACAGACAAAATGTCTGACTCAGTCTTGTTGTCGGATCCAAGACGTAACAGAATTTTGTCGTTTTCTGTGGTGCACAAAATTGCATCCCGCCAGTCGGCTCGAGTTATTACTACATCTTGCAGTGCTGCAGATATTCGCTCAAACGTACCATCTGTCAGCTGACCTTGGAATTCATATGCAAATGACATAACCTTTGTCCCCTGGGGCAGCATGTCCTGCCAGTGATTTTCCAGATCCTGCCCCGCCCACTTCTGACTGTACCAGGGCAGGACCAGGAGTGGCGTGCAGGCATTACTACCAAGGGGGACAGGAGGTTCAGGCACACTGTAGCAGATGTCGAGGAGAGGCATCAGGACCAGAATGTCATGGAACTGTTCATAGTCCAACTGGTGGTAGAACCAGAAACAGTTCAGCATTGGTCGGGATACCTGTCCATGATTCAGAAATATTTCCACAGAGGCTTCAAAATGTTTTCGGTCGAAGTTACCTTTACTCATGAACACCTTGTTTCTATGGTAATTGAAGAATATTTGGAAGTCGTGACGATAGATCGTGGTGATAAAGTCGACAAGGAGTCGGGGTTTGTGGAAGAGAATCAGAGACATGCCAGGAATGTCGTGGAACCACAACACTTCTCCTATGTCATGTAAGTACATCAGACACTCCTCAAGATTTTCACCTTTGATGTCAAAGGTCAAAGCCATGTCCTTGACCTCTTTCAAACGGAGGTAATAGGATTTCTCCTGCTTGAGTTTGACCTTGAACTTGTTCCAGTGGTCTGGTATGCGTCGCTGAGCATGAGGGAAGAGATCTGTATCAATGGCCATGAGTTCTATCTGGTTGATGAGACTGCTTACCCCAGGAAGTCCCTCTACAGAACTGATCACACAAACTTCCCCATCAACTTTTACTGAGTGTTTGATTAAACCTTCTAATTTATTTTTCTCAGATTCTAGATGCTGCATGTGGTCGTTGGACATATTCTGCCCGATTTCTGACTGAAGTGTTTGTATTTCTGTCTGAATCTTTGTGAGCTGTTCATGGAGATTTTCTAGGTGGCGCTTCTGTTGTTTTTTCACCTCACTTTGAACTATATCACATGTTGCCTCTTTCATTTCATCACTCTCACAGAGGTCAGCTTTAGTACCTACAAGTTTGACAACAGCACCAGGGGTGTGGACATTGAGTAGGTCCAGCCACTGACCCACCATCTCATAGTGGCTATCACTGGTATAAGCACTATGGTCATACATAATGACCACTAGGGACTTGGAGTCTAGAAATATGGGATAGCACATCTTGTATGTGGGGTCACCTCCAAAATCATTGATCACAAACTCCACAGAATTCTCTGTCCTCCATACTGTTTGTTCTATGAATCTGGTCTTGTTTAAGTTCACTTCTATTTCACCGTTTTGAATAACTGGTTCATCTTCTGAGACTTCTTCTGTTGTCTTTTTGACAGTTGTGAAGTCATCCAAGTGATCATGAATTTCGACATCTTTCTCATCCACATCCTCATTTATCCTTACTAGTGTTTTGCCGTCATGATTAATTTCCATGATCTTGTCTGCCTTCTCCTTTTGTGTACCGCCCTGGTCCATTTTGTCCTTAATTTCCTTGATCTCTTTGAGAACTTTCTTGCTTTTCATTTTCTCTTTCTCTTTCTTTTCTTCCTTCAATTTTGTGAGCTTCTTACGGATTTTCTCTCGCTCTTTTTCTGCCATGAGGGATTTACCTTGGACGAGGCCCCAAACAAAATCTGTCTTTCCACATTGAGACTCGCCCAACACCAACATTTTCTGCCTCTGGAGATTCTCAGTTTTGGTGATAGCAAGTTTCTTTAGGTATTCAAAGATTTTGGCTGGTTTTTCCGTCCTCCACACTTCGGGTGGAGGTTGTACAAGTGGGTTGTTATACAACCATAAACCACATTTACGGAACTTGTCATAGCTGTGTGCACATGTCAGACCTTTGAGCTGGTGTAGCTTCATGGGTAAGACAGCGATGCTGTTGTCTGTTGCGTCCAATGTTTCCAGTCCTGATAACTCACAAATCTCATCAGGAAGGCTGGTAAGTTTGTTCTCGCATATGACAAGTGATTTGAGTGTTTGTAGATAGCGGATGGATGGCGGGAGAGTTTGCAGCTGATTTGACCCCAGGTCAAGTTCTAGGAGGTTGTGTAACTGACCTAAGGTGGATGGTATGTGCTGCAGCTTGTTGTTGTTGACTCGTAGTTTGATGAGGCTCTTCACGTTCCCAAGTTCATCTGGGAGTGTGGCAATCTGGTTATAGGACAAATCCATAAAGACCAGATGATTCAACGTGTACAAGCTCATGGGAAGTGTCTGTATGAAGTTGTGACTAAGGTTAAACTCCCGCAGACTTATATTGTAGATCTCCATCAAGTTGTTGACCTTTGTGTTCTCCAGATCTAGAGATCGTAGTGCAGGTAATTCAAACACTACCATGGGTATGTGTTTAGACTTGATTTGTCCTGTACTTAGGTAGTTCTCCATATACGTCTGGTCGACCAGTTTACAGAAATGACGGTAGTCAAATGCCAGTGTGTGTAGTTTGGGCATTTCTGGAAGTGTTTCAGGAAGTGTTTCTATTTCATTTCCCCACATCTGAATTTCCTCTAGATCCTGGCAGTATGCTATCTCTGGTGGCAAAGTTGCTAAGTTTGTGTGCTTCAAATTAAGGGTGATCAAGTTTCCAAGATTACCAATTTCTGATGGAAGCATGTTAATCTTGTTGCGACTAATATCGAGGACTTTGAGGCTTGTCAGTCGCCATATCACAGGAGGAATGTAAGGCAGGTTGCACTCCGAGATGTTTAAATCTTCTAGATGGGTGAGTTCTTTCATTTCCATTGGAAGACCTGAGAAATCGTTTGGCCGAGCACAACGAATTCCGTTTTTGCTGATATCTAGTTTCTGTAGATTTTTCCATCGTTTAATGTCGGGCGGTAGAGTCCGCAAGTTGTTGTTGTTCAGGTACAGCTCTCCGAGGTTACTTTCTGTTGGAGAAAAAACCCAACCATCAACGACATATACTATTACTCTGTTATTAAGGACTACCCTATGTATTGTATGCAGAAGTATTAAACAACAAAAGGAAACCTTGTGTCACTTTGTGAAGATGAGGTAAATAAATGTGATACATTTAATATAACAGTTAACAATCTGAAAAAAATTATACACATAAATAATTGATGTTTTGTTTAAGACTGTTGAATATAAGTATATGTATTTTATGTTACTACAGTGTTTGTATGAAGATTTCATCTTTTATCTTTTTTCATTGTTAAATACATCAATTGAGAAGCCTCAAAATCAGTGGGAAAAAACCCTGATTGGAAACAAAAGTGTTAATTAAAAAACCAATACACAACTGAAGATCAATAGATTAACAAAGTTGGATGTAGAGGGGCGTAAGTTACCCTCGTATTATTAGTTTTTGTAAGATTTATTTCTAGTAATTGAACATAAAGCCGTCCCAATGGTAGTATGTGCATGCGTCAAATAGGAAACTTTTTACAAAAGCCGTTCACAAAATCATTCGGTAAAACTTTCAAGCTGTTTATATTTTATAGATGATAGTAAATTTTACTTTTTCTGTTCAGTGTGCCTTACTTTCAGGCAGTACATGGTTAAGGTCATGTAGCAGAGGTCAAGGTCAATTATTTGGGTCTAGGTATAAATATAATCTTTATTTATTTTACAACAATTATGAAAAAAAGTTATTTCAACTTATATTAATCACTCTTGTTGGTCCGGTTGTTAGCGCGTGGGGGCCTTATTGTGGGAGAAAACCAGGTACCTAAAGAAAACCCATGTGGTCGGGCGGGTGACCCCAACCTATTTTCACATCCGATCAGGGAATCAAAATCTTGCCGCCTTGGTGAAAGGCAAGTGTGCTATCCACTGCGCCACCGACCAACCTGGATTAGGGTTAGTGGACTTATCTCAAAGTTTAGATATTTCCCTTTCATTAATCTGTGTTACCCATTAAGAACATGCGGTATTGTCTTGCCAGTTAAAACTTAGTTAACTCTGGTTTCATATTATGTTATTTTGTCTCTTTTTTTTTGAAAATTTCAAATCAAATCACTTAAACTCATTCACCCCTGAATTTTCATAATGGACTATTCCAACCTTTGAATTGGAAAAGTTCAAATGTGTATTCAGGGGTGAATGGTTTTTTTTTCTTTTTTTCTGAAGCCATGCAGCAGTAATGTCAGTATATATTACCTACCCTCTGTGTCGATTACAAAGGATTTCTCTTTGGGAAGTAAATTCAATACAAAAAATTAATTCCAACAGTACAAATACACAAGTAAAATCAAAAAGGTACATATATGTATTGAAGTTATAGTATCAATCAACAAAGAGTTACTGCTAGAACAAACCTTATCACATTATAAACAGGGGACTGAAGTTCTGAAATGCCAACTTTGGGAAGTAGGACAATCAGTATGTTAAAACAAGAACAGACATTTCAATGATATCTAAACTCTAGATATATAATTTTGTCAATATATATTTTTCTGATGAACATTTTTTATGCACATGTGTCAGTATTCAAATAAATTGTTTCAAAAAGAAAATAACTGCATATTTTAAGATGCAAAAAAATAAACCCAGCTGATTTGGAAATGTTGACTTATTCTAGAAAACTTTTAAACAACAGAGACGAGGAGCATTGAGAGAGACACCCACCGTGAAGTAGGCTGACTGGTATCACTGTTAGCCCCTCCCCTGTGAACACCCTTTTCTTTAGCCCGGACTCCGTCAGGTCCGACACTTTCATGGTCACTGTCCGCTTCTTCTTGGCTGATTTTGTTGATTGATCTGAGGATGCACTCTTTTTGCTGCGTGACGGGGATGGTGTTTTGTCATTGCTCTTTTTAGATCGTCCCGATTTAGGGGGCGAGTTGGACGGTCCCCGTTGAGCAGACCGTGGTGGTGAGATACTGTCAGATGTTCTTACTTTCGCCCTCCTTGGCGAATCTTTTCGCGGACTGTCAGGCTCAAAATCAGACATCTTCTTGACTTTCTGCAAGTACAGAAGATGTGTATTTCATTATACTTACTGTATTTCGTAATCTAATGGTTTCAGGTCTTAAATCCAATCAAACAAACGCTAAATGATCTCTATCATTAATATTATAATAATAAACAACATTCAATTCAATTTGTAAAATTACTCTATGGCGCTTTACAACATTGATGGCTTTACAGCATAAATGATTGACATTTATATTTATATTTATTTTGTATTTATATTTCTTTGACTCAGTCTCTTAATAACCCTAGTGACTCAAAATGTTGTCACAAAACCTGTGAATGCTTTCCAATGGGAACCTGTGTGGGATATCTGTTATACTGCGACAGAAATTAGGGACAAACCGTGTTGTGACACCAGAGTAAGCATTGAATGGAAATTCCCTAAAGGGCTCAGAAAGATGTTTGTCACCTGACCAAAATGGTAGCCATAAAAAGTACAACCATTTCTTCACTAAAATTTCTGTTCCACCTTTGCTTGTTAAACCGAGAGAAACTACCCAGAAGGCAAAACAGAATTTTCATCGTTAACGTAAACACAAGGATTGAAAGCAACATACCTTGGAGGATATGTTTGTGATTAACTAGTTTCACTCAGTGATAAATCCTAGAGGTTATATTCCCCCCTGTATTTGACAGGTGGTTCTGTTTGGACACAGATTAGTCTATACTAGTTTATGGGGTTAGCTGTGTTCTAAGAAGGTCAAGTGTGAGGTTATAATAGACTGAATTGATTTTCTACTCAATACTTACATTTAAAACCATTCGTACCAGGCAAGCTTGATAAAAGTATGATTCATAAGTTTTTATTGCTGAAATATTTGTTATAATTCATCACAGCAGCTGTGTAGGTGATCGCACACATCAGCTTTAGATACTTATTTTCAGTTTGAATGTTTCAGATAGAAATCTGAGTTCAGGACTTTGTTTATTTTCATGAGAGCTAAGCCCGAACCCCTGATCACCTGTGTGGAGTGTTGGGGTATACACAGTGGTGTTTGTCCACACACAGGTATAGATTTCCTGTCAAACACCTGCCAAGAAATTTCTGTATTTGTGCATGTATATTATTGTTGGGAATATGTAGAACTATTCTATATAATATATGAATATTTGTACTAAGTAAATGTTGGCAAACTACCTAGAGAATGTTTTGAGTACTGAAGTTCATGTTACGTTAATAGAACTCTATTATTTGGTAACAGTACTGTAGTATTGTGTTTGCTGAATTAAACTAAGCAGATACATTTTGTTTCACCTGCAGTTCAAGGTGTATTCCTATGTTGGCCAGTGCAGGGGGATGTGTGACAGGATTTGTTTAATCCTGTAGCACTGGCAGTATCACTGCCGATTATATATAAATGTGTGACAGGATTTGTGTAATCCTATAGTACTGGCAGTATCACTGCCGATTATATATAAATGTGTGACAGGATTTGTGTAATCCTGTAGTACTGGCAGTATCACTGCCGATTATATATAAATGTGTGACAGGATTTGTTTAATCCTGTAGTACTGGCAGTATCACTGCCGATTATATATAAATGTGTGACAGGATTTGTTTAATCCTGTAGTACTGGCAGTATCACTGCCGATTATATATAAATGTGTGACAGGATTTGTTTAATCCTGTAGTACTGGCAGTATCACTGCCGATTATATATAAATGTGTGACAGGATTTGTTTAATCCTGTAGTACTGGCAGTATCACTGCCGATTATATATAAATGTGTGACAGGATTTGTTTAATCCTGTAGTACTGGCAGTATCACTGCCGATTATATATAAATGTGTGACAGGATTTGTTTAATCCTGTAGTACTGGCAGTATCACTGCCGATTATATATAAATGTGTGACAGGATTTGTTTAATCCTGTAGTACTGGCAGTATCACTGCCGATTATATATAAATGTGTGACAGGATTTGTTTAATCCTGTAGTACTGGCAGTATCACTGCCGATTATATATAAATGTGTGACAGGATTTGTTTAATCCTGTAGTACTGGCAGTATCACTGCCGATTATATATAAATGTGTGACAGGATTTGTTTAATCCTGTAGTACTGGCAGTATCACTGCCGATTATATATAAATGTGTGACAGGATTTGTTTAATCCTGTAGTACTGGCAGTATCACTGCCGATTATATATAAATGTGTGACAGGATTTGTTTAATCCTGTAGTACTGGCAGTATCACTGCCGATTATATATAAATGTGTGACAGGATTTGTTTAATCCTGTAGTACTGGCAGTATCACTGCCGATTATATATAAATGTGTGACAGGATTTGTTTAATCCTGTAGTACTGGCAGTATCACTGCCGATTATATATAAATGTGTGACAGGATTTGTTTAATCCTGTAGTACTGGCAGTATCACTGCCGATTATATATAAATGTGTGACAGGATTTGTTTAATCCTGTAGTACTGGCAGTATCACTGCCGATTATATATAAATGTGTGACAGGATTTGTTTAATCCTGTAGTACTGGCAGTATCACTGCCGATTATATATAAATGTGTGACAGGATTTGTTTAATCCTGTAGTACTGGCAGTATCACTGCCGATTATATATAAATGTGTGACAGGATTTGTTTAATCCTGTAGTACTGGCAGTATCACTGCCGATTATATATAAATGTGTGACAGGATTTGTTTAATCCTGTAGTACTGGCAGTATCACTGCCGATTATATATAAATGTGTGACAGGATTTGTTTAATCCTGTAGTACTGGCAGTATCACTGCCGATTATATATAAATGTGTGACAGGATTTGTTTAATCCTGTAGTACTGGCAGTATCACTGCCGATTATATATAAATGTGTGACAGGATTTGTTTAATCCTGTAGTACTGGCAGTATCACTGCCGATTATATATAAATGTGTGACAGGATTTGTTTAATCCTGTAGTACTGGCAGTATCACTGCCGATTATATATAAATGTGTGACAGGATTTGTTTAATCCTGTAGTACTGGCAGTATCACTGCCGATTATATATAAATGTGTGACAGGATTTGTTTAATCCTGTAGTACTGGCAGTATCACTGCCGATTATATATAAATGTGTGACAGGATTTGTTTAATCCTGTAGTACTGGCAGTATCACTGCCGATTATATATAAATGTGTGACAGGATTTGTTTAATCCTGTAGTACTGGCAGTATCACTGCCGATTATATATAAATGTGTGACAGGATTTGTTTAATCCTGTAGTACTGGCAGTATCACTGCCGATTATATATAAATGTGTGACAGGATTTGTTTAATCCTGTAGTACTGGCAGTATCACTGCCGATTATATATAAATGTGTGACAGGATTTGTTTAATCCTGTAGTACTGGCAGTATCACTGCCGATTATATATAAATGTGTGACAGGATTTGTTTAATCCTGTAGTACTGGCAGTATCACTGCCGATTATATATAAATGTGTGACAGGATTTGTTTAATCCTGTAGTACTGGCAGTATCACTGCCGATTATATATAAATGTGTGACAGGATTTGTTTAATCCTGTAGTACTGGCAGTATCACTGCCGATTATATATAAATGTGTGACAGGATTTGTTTAATCCTGTAGTACTGGCAGTATCACTGCCGATTATATATAAATGTGTGACAGGATTTGTTTAATCCTGTAGTACTGGCAGTATCACTGCCGATTATATATAAATGTGTGACAGGATTTGTTTAATCCTGTAGTACTGGCAGTATCACTGCCGATTATATATAAATGTGTGACAGGATTTGTTTAATCCTGTAGTACTGGCAGTATCACTGCCGATTATATATAAATGTGTGACAGGATTTGTTTAATCCTGTAGTACTGGCAGTATCACTGCCGATTATATATAAATGTGTGACAGGATTTGTTTAATCCTGTAGTACTGGCAGTATCACTGCCGATTATATATAAATGTGTGACAGGATTTGTTTAATCCTGTAGTACTGGCAGTATCACTGCCGATTATATATAAATGTGTGACAGGATTTGTTTAATCCTGTAGTACTGGCAGTATCACTGCCGATTATATATAAATGTGTGACAGGATTTGTTTAATCCTGTAGTACTGGCAGTATCACTGCCGATTATATATAAATGTGTGACAGGATTTGTTTAATCCTGTAGTACTGGCAGTATCACTGCCGATTATATATAAATGTGTGACAGGATTTGTTTAATCCTGTAGTACTGGCAGTATCACTGCCGATTATATATAAATGTGTGACAGGATTTGTTTAATCCTGTAGTACTGGCAGTATCACTGCCGATTATATATAAATGTGTGACAGGATTTGTTTAATCCTGTAGTACTGGCAGTATCACTGCCGATTATATATAAATGTGTGACAGGATTTGTTTAATCCTGTAGTACTGGCAGTATCACTGCCGATTATATATAAATGTGTGACAGGATTTGTTTAATCCTGTAGTACTGGCAGTATCACTGCCGATTATATATAAATGTGTGACAGGATTTGTTTAATCCTGTAGTACTGGCAGTATCACTGCCGATTATATATAAATGTGTGACAGGATTTGTTTAATCCTGTAGTACTGGCAGTATCACTGCCGATTATATATAAATGTGTGACAGGATTTGTTTAATCCTGTAGTACTGGCAGTATCACTGCCGATTATATATAAATGTGTGACAGGATTTGTTTAATCCTGTAGTACTGGCAGTATCACTGCCGATTATATATAAATGTGTGACAGGATTTGTTTAATCCTGTAGTACTGGCAGTATCACTGCCGATTATATATAAATGTGTGACAGGATTTGTTTAATCCTGTAGTACTGGCAGTATCACTGCCGATTATATATAAATGTGTGACAGGATTTGTTTAATCCTGTAGTACTGGCAGTATCACTGCCGATTATATATAAATGTGTGACAGGATTTGTTTAATCCTGTAGTACTGGCAGTATCACTGCCGATTATATATAAATGTGTGACAGGATTTGTTTAATCCTGTAGTA